GCAGAGCAGAGCAAACAGGGCTGTAACACTTTTGCTGGGGAAACTCCTCTGGCAGAGCAGGGTTATTACTCTCAGCTCTCCACTCTCCTGGGAGCAGAGATGAACTGTAGCAACTTCGCCCAGGAAACCTTCTCTTGCTGGAGCAAAACTGCTACACTGGACAAACATCCCCATCTGGAAGAGCCTCTCCTGCTGAAGCCGAGCTGATACATGATATGATACAAGGGGAAGCCTTTCCCTGAGGCAGGGCTGTTAGCTGCTCTGCTTACTGAGGTCTGTGGTAGTCCTTGGCTCCAGGACACCTTTCCATCTGAACTGTGTATCACTCAGTATTCTGTGACTCCCCAGTGCCAGAATACCTGTCCCTCCGGATCCGTCCAAAAGCCTACAGTATCCTGTCAGAACTCCAAGGGCAGGCTAGTATAAATGTCTAAATACTGACACCAGGATCCCAAGGTCTGCATCTCCACAGCACTTGGGTTAAAGTATGTGCCACTACACCTGTTTTTTTCTTTTCTTTTTTTTTGTTGTTGTTTGTTTTGTTTTGTGAGCTCTGGGGATTGAACCTAGGTTTCCTGATTGCAAAGCAAGTACTTTCAAGAAGATATCTCCCCAGGCCATTGTGCTAAGTCTTAGAACCCCAAATGCATGCAACACTGATATACTCAGTCAATACATTTTTATCACACTAAATGGAAAATGTCTAATAATTTAGCCCTTATTTCTCAAAGTAATAATACCTGTAAGAAAACAGTGCAAATACAATGGAATGTATGGAATATATTAAAATAAAAACTGATGTCATTTTTAACCTTACCATATGAAACAAAACAAGTACACATACATTTTAGTAATCTTTCCTATTTTCATTTTTTTGTAGTTCCTTCAAGGTTATATCAACAATTATAGAATCTCAAATGTAATACTTAAACTGCTTTAGGTTATAACATTTTGCACTGTTTTCATTTATCGCCATTGCAACTTGAGTGGAATAAATATCAATAATTTTTCTTGCATAGCCACATAGGTAATACTATCGGTTACCAAAAGCTGCACCACATGAGGTGAAGCCAATGAGCTTTAAAACACTAAAGTTACCCACCACTGCAGTGACATCCCTCAGAGAGATATGTGGTGTTTTCATGTATTGCACTTTGTTTGTTGGCTGAAGAATGAATTGGGGGTCATCACTTGAGTTTCTGCTTGGCAGGTCCTTGAAATGAAGTTGATGAGTTTCAAATCCCTTTTCCAGCCCACATCTCCCTCTTGAGCACCAGATCATAAATTCAGCTCTCTTCTCATCACCCTCTCAACATCTTACAGACATCTGAGGCTTACTTTGTCCAAAGCTGGACTTGTTTCCTTTTGTATTCTCAAACTTGCTGTGGCTTCTATATTTTTATTTGACTGAAAGAAATAACTTTGCACCCAAGAAGTTGAAAGACAAGATCTATGAATTACTTTAATTTTTTCCTATATACTCTTTGTAAATAAACATATTTTAGAGTCCCTCATAGTATCTCTCTAGGCCTATTTTATGGGATCAGCCTACCCACACCTACATGTGCATAAACAAAGCAGCCCAACTGAATTATCTAATGTGACACACTCAACTATTTATTCATGGAGATTGAACTCTTAAGTGTCTGTAAAACTCATCTAAAAAGAGAAAGTTAGAAATGAGGAGATTATAAACAAATTTTCAAAAAGTATTCATTCCCTGAGGTCTTTTAATTGTCTTTTTGTTGTTGTTTGTTTGTTTTTGTTTGTTTTTGAGACAGGCTTTCTCTGTGTAGTCCCGAAATTTGCTCTGACCAGGCTGCTCTAGAACTCACAGAGATGTACCTGTATTTTCCTCCTTAGTGCTGGGTTAATATGGGTATCATCACTGCCTGGCATAATTGCTTAATTCTTTGTTCTAATGGAGCAATCAAAGTTTAAATGCCACAGCAAGTGTGGATTCTTTCTATGGGAGTTTACACTAGGACATTATCTTCTTAACTCTCCTGCTAACCTCTAATTTGAAGCCATGAGGAAAACAAGTATATGAACCTGATGACACACTTGCCCTTACATGAGGTCACCCGAAACTTCCTTCCCTTAAGCAGGGAACTCACACAATCTAAAATGCTGCAACATCAAAGGAGAGGCTCTTCTACTGCAAACCTGTGTTTCAGGTATAAGAAGAGCATATTTGTGAGTGAAAGACCCTGGCCCAGTTTAAACAGGCAGCTGAGGCTTATGGAGAATTCCGTTCCCCCACAACTGCATAGTCATTGCCTATCAGAAGGGAGCTCAGCTCAAGGACACAGGCTGTCGGGTATCTGCAGGTGGCCGGATGGCCAGCTCAGCAGGGTTGAGCAAGCACAGAGACCAATTGTTCCTCAGATAGGGCCAAGGCCAAGACTTGAGTTCCAAGAAAAACCTCAATTGCCCGCGCTCTGAGCCCTAGCCTCATTTAAATTGCCTAATCAGGGTCCTGTTACTAGGCTTCTCGCTTCTGTACTGTGCTTTTTGCTATAAAAGAACCCCTGAGTCCCCAGCTCGGCGCGCTCAGTTCCCCGAGACTGAGACGCCCGGGTACCCATATGTCACCAATAAAGCCTCTTGCTGTTGCATCCAAGTTCGTGGTCTCGCTGTTCCTTGGGTACGGGTCTCCCTTCCGTGAAAGTATCCCTATTGGGGTCTTTCAGTGAGAACTTAGGATAATCCCCTACAAGTTTTAAGTATATGTTTGTAAACTTCTAAATTGCAGTTGGTCATACAAAAATAGTTTTTTCTCAGCTGTTTAGTGAAAACTATTCATTTCACAATAACAACAAAAAATAGCAATTCAATGTTTTCCCCAAATTTTGACAAATGTTCTAACAAATAGAAAGTTCAGAGATTCAAGATCAGGCCTTTATCTTCCCGCAAACTTCCATCGTACTGAAGAGACACAGGACAAACAAAGCCCCCTGGGCTGGACGCCTCGACTCTCATGGAGCACTCTCCTCATCCAGAAGAATACACTTTTCTGAGCTTTCTGAACTTGGTCTGTAACCATGGTTACAGAAAGCGTAGGTTGAAAAGATGGCTTGAACAACTGACTAAGTCAGTAAAGTGCATAAGTGTAGTTACCATGAAAACATAGATCATGATATCAATGCAGGAAGCTGCCACAATCATTTCACCATAAGTTATAAAAATGCTACTAAACAATGAGAAATTAAGTGGCTACAGGATATGAAGCGTACATTTAAGTGAGAACAGTAAGATTAGGATATGATGAAAGTTGATCTGAGGAGCTGAAGAAAGAAATAGAATGGCCAGAGAAATTTCTGAAATGGGGCAAAATTGTTAATGACATTTAGAGAGTGTGCATTCCTAGACAGGAATATCCTGAAGGAAAAGAAAAAGAGTCAGGAAGAATGAAATGTTCTCAAGAAAGAGAAACAAACAAACAAACAGAAAAAGAAACCAAGATGCAGAAAGTAGAACTAAATTAAAACAACAAAAACTGAATCTGAATTGAAGGACACTATTCTAGAAAACTTAACCAATACAAATGAAATTTTAATACAGACACTGAAATATGTTGTGTCCTGGAAAAACCTCATACATGCATCAGATGAATGTCTCAGTACATTCACTTTGTGCACCCAGGTAAAGAACATATGGCTTTAAAGCAACAAAATTAACAAACAAAAACAGTCACATCAATGTCACAAGACAATAGGATGTTTACAAATTTGCAAGGAAAATAAGAAAGTTAGAATTCAAGAACTGTATCTACAGATTGTTTAAAGAAATGTTGGAATTGTCATGATGCACAAAAACTCTAAAACCATCATTTTAAACCAAGAAAATAATGGGAAAAGACAAATGAAGACTTTTAAATTTATGTAATTCAGAATTAATGTTTTTAAAACAGAAACAGTGTTTCATCAAAATGATAGTTCATAAACTCTCACAGCATCAAAATAATGCAACAGTTTAGTTTTCATACTAGATTTTCTTCAAAAGTTGTCTAAAATTAATGTTTTGTTCTCCTTCAAACAGATATTAGGGCTCAATCCCTCTATGTTCTGCTAGTTTAAGATGTCATTTCTGCTTTAAGACCTCCTCCAGTGCACTGCTCAGAGCGGATGCGCTTCCATTTCTGTAATTTCTATTTTACCTTTTCCTCATCACTTAGTTTTTTGGTATTTCTAATTGAATCAGTCCTTCAATTTAATTAATTTCTTTTTATGTTTATTGTTGTTGATTTTGTTTGTTTGTATTGTTTGGGGCTTTTTGGGGTTTTGTTGTTGTTTTGTTTTTGCTTTTTGGATTTTGTTTTGTTTTGTTTTTTTCGAGACAGGGTTTCTCTGTATTGTGTTGGAGCCTGTCCTGGAACTCACTCACTCGGTAGACCAGGCTGGTCTCGAACTCACAGTGATCCGCCTGTCTCTGCCTCCGGAGTGCTGGGATTAAAGGCGTGCACCACCAACGCCTGGCTTGTTTTGTTTTTCTTGCTGGTTTAGTTTTTTTTTTTTTCAGACAGAATTTCCTTGTGTAGACCTGGCTATCCTGGAATTCACTCTGTAGACCAGGGTAGCTTCAGACTCAGAGATCAACCTGCCCCTACCTCCATAGTGCTGGTATTAAAGGTGTGCACCACCACGCCTGGCAATTAACTATTTTTTTACATATTATATATCATGTATTTTCTGTTTCTTTTATGTCAGCTAATTTCTCAACATTTTAAACTTTCACACCTAATTGCTTTCTTTGAGCTGCTTTGAGATAGGTACATTTTTCTGTTCATGCCCACCTGGAACCCACAATTTACCACAGGTTGATCTCTATGAGAAGGACCTTCTAAATCACCTTTCCAAATGCCGGGGTTACACACTTTGTAGCCATACCAGGTTCATTCATAGACACACTTACCCAAAGCAATTGACTAATTTTTTTATAAAACACAATATTATAAGAAACTTATAACAATATTAATAAAGGATATTATGTTTACTTACATTTTCATACCATAAGTAGTGTTTGTACACCAATGTTGAATATAATATGGTATCAATGATGCTTCAGAAATATACTTAGAAGCCAGATTCTGATGGTGAATGCCTTTCATCCCAACACTCCAAAGGCAGAAGCAGGTGGAATTAGTTAAGAGACAGCCAGAGGCACACAGAGAAACCCTGTTCAAAAATAAAAAGAAAGAAAGGAAGAAAGAAAAGAAAAGAAAAAGAGTAAGAAAAGACATATTCTTAGAATATACTCAGTGCAACATTTGGTCCTTGCCACACAAATTCATATGAGATTAGTTTTTACACTTTGCAATAGACATTGAGCCAATGAAATGCAGAATCTTCGAGTGTTTAAAGCTATAATTTGAGCGGGGAAGTGGTGGCAATGGCGGCACATGCCATCAATCCCTGTGAGTTCAAGGACAGCCAGAGTCAGTTCCAGGACAGCCAGAGCTGTTACACACAAAAAGCATGTTTTGAAAAATCAGAAAGACAGAAAGAAAGAAAGAAAGAAAGAAAGAAAGAAAGAAAGAAGGGGAGGGAGGGAGCAAGGGAGGGAGGGAGGGAGGAAGGAAGGAAGAAAGAGATAAAAAGAGAAAAGTTATAATTGGAAACTGACATCAAGTATCACTTTCTCACCTAGAACTCACTTAAAAAATAAAGCATATTGCATATATGTACTTGGGAACTTATTTCTATCATTATCCTATGTGAGTCTCATGTGTCTATCATGGAAGCTAGATGCTGAAGTGTTCTGCCTGTTCAGTCCTGTAACATTGGGTTGTATATAAATATCACCATTTATTCCAAACCAATTCCTTCAGTCTTCACAGTTTCTAATCTGTTCTACAACATTTTGTTATTTTCAAAGTGTCGTTTACCCTATATAGTTCTCTTTCAGTTCATACAAATTAGGGAGGGGAACAAATGTCAGTGCCTTTTAGTTAGTGAGTAGACTTATGTGAAACACAGGTAAATTAGATTATCCAAACTTTTGATCCACATAAGGACTATTTCCAGATATTTTGGCATTGTGAATAAATATACCAATTAATATTTGTATAGAAATTTTAATGTGTATAAGTGCTTCCCTTTGCCAGAGACATACTCATTTGTACAAAAGCTGGCTTATATAGTACACACACACACACACACACACACACACACACACACACACACATACACACACTTCATGAGAAAATTCCAGAAATCTTTCATATTTATTATGGGACTTTGCAGGTCTACTGACAATATACAAATATTCTGTATATACACACTAATATTTAGAACGAAAACTTTCTAAAATCATCCTGATCGGTAGGTTGTGGTGCATCATCATTTTAGGAAACAGGTCCTTGAGGGCTAAAGATGTTAAACATCATTTAATTTGCTGGGTTCTCCTCAGTAGATCTTTGTAAGATAGCGGTTTCTTTCATTTTATTTTTTTTCTAATTAAAATGTTTACTTTTTATTGTATAGTTCTAACGTACTAGATCTTGAGGTAATATGCTAGTTTCCTAACACATTTCCTATTCTATAACTTGTGTTTTTATTTTATCTAAGGATAAAAAAATCTAAAAATTTGAGTATGGTTTATCAATTTTACCTTTAAAGCCTCATGACTTTGATGTCAAGTGAAAGAGCTATTTGACACTTTGTCAGTGTCCTTGATTTTATCTTAAATGTTTTATAATTTTGCACCTTTTATTTCTGTGTATTTTGATATAAATATTATATAAAATGTATTATTTATATAAGACTAGTTTTCTATGGACGTTCAATTATTTCAGACCCTGTTGGTAAAAGTCTCCCCCTTCCTTCATTAACAGCCTTTGTCTATTTGTGAAAATCAATTGGCCATCTTTGGGCAGAGCTATTGCTTGATTCTCTTATCTGTTTCAATGACAAATATTTCTCTTCCCCCAAAACACATTCTGTTTTATTCCTGTAAGTATTCAGAAAGCATGAGAGAATGCGTCTACTCACTATGACAATCTTACATTTTTGTGCTCTGCTCCTTTCTATATAAATTTTAAAATGCTACAGAAATTTGTTGACATAAAGCAACTTGGGTTGGGATACAATGATATCAATAGATGAATTTGAGAGAGGTGGACAAGTCCACTTGTCTTAAAACCATTTAACATAACCTAGAGTTGTTCAATTAAGGTCATCCTTTACTTCCTCCATGAATATTTCGAATTTTTATCAGGAAGCCTTCCACAGAAAAGGCTGATACATATTTTAGAAGTACATTTATGAGTTTTCAACAATTATCAAGTTTGGTTTTCAACTTCTTAAAATTTATTTTGTGCATAGTGTTTTGCCTACATGTTGGCTTATCAACCAAATATAACCCGATGCCTACAGATGCCAGAGGAGAACATTGGCACCTCAAGAACTGGAGTTACAGGTGGTTGTAAGTTGCCATGTGGGTACTTGGAATTGAAAAAGGATATTTTGCAAGAACCTTAAGTCCTCCTAACTGACTTATATAGGTCATTGTACTATGATTTTAATTACAGCATGCCAAAATTCCCATTACCAAATTGATTATATAATAAAACTAATCCACTTACTTTATGGAAAACAGAATGATTATTTAAAACTTGAAGAGAATATGAGTATTTATAGTATGGGAATAAAAGCAAACATACATGATTGCTACTAATGTATATATGAAAAATAATATTTTAAAGTGAGATAAGCATAGAGCAAAACAAATTTCATCCTGTATAAGACATGCATACCAAACAATTTACTTGATAACAATAGAATTGAAATTTTGAATCTAGGAGTCAAAGTAGCTAACATCAAACACAAGTTGAAAGGAAAATTCCCAATTCAAACCCAATATTGAAGAATATTTATCTAAATAAAGCATTTTGAGAAATACCAATTTCATAAATATATGTGTCTATGTACTCACAAGTATGTCAGGTAACATGCATAAATAAAATACTATAGTTTTTTTAAGTAAAACTATTACAGTCAAGCAGATTAGAAAATAGACGTTCACATTCCTATAAATATAAACATGTAGGAGAAGAAATATCCATTTAACAATTAATGAATTTGCCTTAAAACTATTTTCCCTGAAATTGCAAAGACAAAATACCCTTTATTTTCAATATTTGAGACACATTTAAAATACTTGGCCACATTTTGGAAAAGTAAATACATTCCATTAAAATATATGAAATAAATGGCTGCTGACAGTTTGTTAAAGCTAAAACTTGTGAAAAGAACTTGAAAAATAAATCCTTCATAATAATCAAGGGAAATTTGTATATAATATTTAAATCTGATTTCAGGGAGTCAATTTTCACTGTGTTAAAGTATTAAGAATGCTTTTGGTATCTCATTCCCCACGTGACCCAGAAAGCTGCTATCATAGCAAACATCTCTCAAGTAAGAAATATACATTCTGAAATTAAACCTATCAACCAAAATGTGGTAAACTATGAACACTGTCTGCAGACATTGGAGGGGAGTCAAAACTTTGAAGAAAAAAATGTAATTGGGTCAGTTCCTGTGACTCATTCGTTACAGATTTTAGCCTGAAACTAGGTCACAGTACATACTATACATGATGATTAAAACAAGGAGAACACCTGTAGCTTTATTTACTTGAAAACCCAGAGTTTGAATCAATCAAAACCAGTGGAAAATAAATCTTATACAACAAAGAGTAGGATTTGAGAAGTCCAGAATGATCTAATGAGCTCTCTCCAGACCTTTGGCTGATCTCTGAGCTGTGGTCTAGGATAAGTGTACAGAACAGGGTAGAATATGTTATATTGACTTCCAGAGAATACTACTTTTCTGTCCATTTAACTTCAAACTGAAGATGTAACACAAGAACAAACAGCACTTCTTCAAATAAACTGGACAGAATTGAGAGTTGTCTCATGTCAACATGTCCAGGATATAGTCACAAAGTACTTAGGAACATAAAACTATTTGGTCTATTAACAATAATATAATAAACAATACAAGCCAGTTTTGAGATAATGTAAGTATTTTAAAGCAATGCTTACAAGGATTCTTGAAGCTGCAAAGAAAAAAATGTTCCAACAACAATAGGATATTAGAAACATAAATGGATTCAATTACAAAAAATGAGATTCCAGAGAAGTGAGGGAGGGTAATGAGTTTGGATATGAATCATATGCATTGTTTACATTTATAAAACTACCAAAAATAATTTAAAGTTTTTCAAATGGAAAAACTAATATCTGAAAATTTTTTTAAAGTTACATTAAGTAAACAACAAAATTATGAAAGAAGAAATGAAGAAGAATTTAAAATCCAGGCAATTTTAAATGGGAAATTATCTAACTTGAAATTAGGAAACAAAGATTCTGTACATAAAATGGTGTTTCTTGTGACTGTGGGACTGTGGGATAAAGAGATTTATCACATGAATAGTTAGAGTTCTAGAAAAAAGGGGAGAAAGATACTGGATCACAGAAATAATAAGACACCTTACAAACCTAGTGAAAGGCACATATTTGCACATTTAAAAGCATGGGGACCTTAAAGCAAGAATCATAATTTCAAAATGAAGCTAGAGAGACAGCTCTGGGAAAGCTTATCTGAGCACTGGAGTGTCTCATGACAGTTGCCACTCTACAGGATGGGAGCTGTCCGGTCCTCTTTTACTCAGGGACTCTCTGTCCAGAAGCTGTTGAATGCAGCATGAAACAAAATTCACTGTAGTAACCATGCGCAAGAAAGCATGCCACCCCCCTGAAAAGAGCTTGGACAGAGTCTACAAGTGAACAGAAACAGGTCATTGGCCAGGAAAACAGCAAAATCTAGGGTACAAACACATTTGACTGCCATAGTTACTACGTAATACTCAAATACCCCATTTTCATCCAAAATGTATGGAATAATACACCCCAAAAATAATAGGGCCCATTTATCAGAGACTAAACCCTGACAAAAAATAATTTCTGAAGAAACCCAGCCATTGCAGCTAATTAGACAAAGACTTTAGCTAAGCAGCTTAACCAGGGAATAAAGGAAATTAGAAAGAAAAGACATGTATGAGAAAAACAGAATACTGATGAAGGCATAGATATTTAAGAATGAATTCTAGAACTGATGATATGATGAGGAAGGATAGTTAACACGCACCAGCACTCAACAGTACATGA